GGATTACTGTTAAAACCTGAAGGATAAGTAGGTCTATAATTACTATTACCTTGGTTGTTCCAGTTTCCCAAGAGTTTACTTGTTTGTTTCCCCATTGTTGATTATTATCACCCGAAGTATTATTCTAGTTAAAGTTAGGATGGTTTTTTCAACCTAGGTTATAATAGTTTTAATATGGGTTATTTGAATTATTATTTATGACATTCAAAGTTTCTAATGATGCTTGAAAATCTACCAATTGACCTAATGAACTCTCTTCAATCATTGAAATTGTTTGAGAAAAAATCATTCCAAATTAGTCTAACTTCCTTGAAATTGTAACAACATGATTTGCTAACATTGCAAAAGCATCAGATTTATGAATTTTGGCTACTTTCTTAAGATTTATCCTCTCAGAAAACCATTAAAAATTACTAGCAGTTATCTCTTCAATTAAAGCATAAGCGTCATGAAATGGTTTTGACATCAGTGAACCACCGGCAATGACATAGCGAATCCATTGTAAAAGGTTTGAATTATTAACCAATATGGTATAACATGGTATGTACACTTTTTCAGTAGTTCTTTAAATCGTTCCCACACTTCATAAATAGATTCGTCTTCAAACTGATAAAAAGATGAAATATCATTTTCAAGCTTCGCAGTTTTTATGATGGAAAATATTTAACAAGGAATTTCTGTGCTAAATCACCCCAAGTTCTGATAAATCTATATACTAACAAATTTAACCATATCTTAACCTTATCCCTCAGTAAGAATAGAAAAAAGTTTAAGTCTAATAACATCATCGGAAACACCATCATATTTAAATGTAGCACAAAATTATAGAAAATTGGCAAGATGTAAATTTGGATTTTTAATTGGTGCTCCCCCAAACTAATTATTTGATATCATTTGGATAAAGTATGTTTAAGTTCAAATGAATTAATCACTACAACAGTTTTTTAAATACTAGAATGAAGTTTATCTACTATAGAGTTTGCATAATCTCTTAAAGGTCTAAATTCTTAATTAATTTCAGCATTTTAATTATTTTGGGTTGTTATTTCATAAAATTTTTTATATTTTTCTGTATTTTTATTATTTTTTTATTTTTCTAGTAGTTCTTTCTAATTCAGAATCATAGGGCACTAGTCATTAAGAACATGAACTACACATACATTACTACAAAACAACATAAAATAAAATCACACAAACAAGAACTTATATAAAAACAACACTACAATATTTCTATAATAAATCTAAAAGTTTAAATCAGACTTTTAAAAATAGAAATTTGCTTTCCTAAAAATTCTTTCAAAAAATTTTTTTTACTCCCCGACAACGGCACCAAAAACTTGATCCCGACTTTTAAGACAGTACCACGAAGTATGTGTGGTTATATTCTCAATTATCTTTCTTTATATTTCTTTCTTTACAACGGCATCAAAAACTCGATTCTAAAGCAAATAAGAGTGCAACTATTATATTTAAAAATTGAGATATTACACAAGTATACATATCATTGTCAAGTAATGTAGGACTTTTTAATTAAGCCCCAAATATCAAACTCACAAGGAGAATTACAATCTGTTAATAAGAAATTAGATAACAAACTCAACTTTTGAAAAATATTTGTACCTAAATTATAGATGCAATAATAGGAATGAAAGTTCGATTCTTTTTGGTAATTTTTGATAATTGAAAATAAAGTAAACAACTTACCAAAATTAACTAAATATTTGTAAGATGAAGATAATATAAATAAAATATATTTTTCCTTATCATGAATCAGTATAAACTATATGAATTCTGTTGTTCCAAATAGAAGCAATATTGTTCTTTACTCTTACTAGAGATGCTATTAAAAACATTGACTAATTTAAAGTTTGAATAGTCTTGAAGACGAAATAGGTAGGGAGGATACTAGCTCTCACTCTAAAGTTCCCTCTTCACCCTCCACTTGGGGGCTAACATCTCGTATCAAAACCTAAAATAATAAACCAAAGTGGAGGCTTTAGTCTGTCACTCTAAAGTCCTCTAACTCTACACTCCTCAAAGTTTATTTCCCTGTTTATTTGCACTCAACCATATGAATTAAATTCTCATCCATACAATCTCATGTGATTCTTACCATTAATTGATCGAGACAATACCATCTCGGATCTTACATGTTCTCACAACAAATATTAACATCTTAATTGACCAAATCGAGAAGTAAATGAAGTACAAGGTTTAAAATCATCATAACTTATTCCGACATTAAAGATTAATACTTCACACAACTTCCATCCAACACTTAATCACTTATCATTTTAAGGAAAAAGATAAAGAAAAACTACTCAGAATTCATGATGAAAACATAACACTTAAGTTTAAAAGTAGAAATTATGTAAACACACAAGAAGTTTAAATTAAAATCAAATGTAATCACAAAGATAAAAATTTATCTCAGATTCCTCTCCACCAAACTCTTAAAGTTCCTTTGAATCTCTTATCTTCCTTTCTCTTACAATACTCTCTAGTAACACATTGCAACTCCTTCCTTTCTTCTCTCTAAAAGTATCCTAATTAATCTATGAGAGAGGGGCGTCGATGGCTATTTGAGTCTCTTCAATCATTTAATCCAAGTCTTCTTTTATAATTTTTCCAAAAGATGATTTGGTGTCTCTTCAAAATGTATTCACATTCAATGAATCTTTCAAGAGTTGCCTCCTTTCAATAGCCATTTGAATATATTTTCGTGTCCATTAACCATAACTCACATTTTCACCAAGAATCGCTTCAAACACCCCTTAAAAAAATTCGTCTAAATTCATTGAATCATCAAATAACTACCTCTGGCGCTTAAGCATGAGGTATGTGGCGCTTAGGTGCGACTTTCTGTGTTATCCTGGTGCTTAGGCACTACAGTTCTTTTGCACACATTCTTCATTTTTGCTCCAAATTTGCTCCTTTTTCACTCCTTTTACCATTTTTCATTCATTTGATTATACCTATAAGAAAAATACACAAATACCTTCCATTAAAACACAATATCCTCAAAAATAAGTATAAAAATGTGTACATAAATGCTATATATTTCAGGTGTATCAATGAGTTACCAAGGAAAATAAAGGTTGAGGAGATGAGCGCTAGTGTGAATGATTTTCAACCAAATGGAGAGCAAGAAAGAATAGAGGAAATGATGTGATTCGACTAAAGGAAGAAGAAGAGAAATAGATTCATAAACTGGTATAGTGATTAGGCTAAGAGGAGGAGGAGGAGAAGAAGAAGAGAGTGAGAAGAAGAGAAGATGAGGAGAAGAGAAGATGAGGAGGAGAAGAAAGTGAAGACCAAAAGTAGTAGTAGTAGAAGAAGAAGAAGGAGAATAGAATGTAGTGGTAGAATATTCGGCTAAGAGAAGAAGAAAGGGTGGTGAAGTATAATAAAAGAGGAGATTGTGGTGGAGTGATCCGGCTAAGAGAAGAGGGAGGAGAAAGTGATTGTGTTTTGACTAGAAGAAGAGGAAGAAGAGATGAAGTAAGAAAAGAAGAAGAGTAAGTATAAAAAAAAGAAGTAGAAGAAGAACAAAGAGAAGTGAAAGAGAAGTATGGTGGTGAGAAGAAGAAGAGAGAGAAGGGTGGTGGTGAGAAAAAAGAGAAGAACAAAAGAAGAAGAAGAAAAGGAAGAAATGAAGAAGAAGAAGAAGTGCAGAAAGACTTACAGTGGAGAAGTCGAAGAACACCGGAAAGGAAGCAGACCAAACGAGAGCAAGGCGCTAGAGTGAATAACAAATGGAGAAAAAGAGGATGAATGACCGAATTATTTTGATTAGAGGTGAGGAGATGGTTCATATAAGGGGTGAAGGTAGTGGAGGCTGAAGGTGAGATCTGTTAGCGCTTTAAAATCAAGCGGGAGTAGGTGGAGTAACGATGGCATGATCACCTCTCTAGTACAATTACTTCATTCCCTCAGGTAGAGTGGCATAGTAACACCACAAGCTAGTGTGGTTATGCTGGCTTTGACGTAGCCATGCCACAAGCTAGCGTGGTTACACTTGCCAGGCGCATAGTCACTGCTCAGAGCGGTGTCAAGGTTTTTGTGGCGTGCCTACACCACTACAGGCGTAGCTAAGCCGGCAGTGGTGTAACTGCACTGAATTGTGGCATTGAGGATAGACTAAAAAAGTTTGGGGATTTTGTGCTATTGAGCTCCTTTCAAGCCCATAATAATTGTTTTGCATGTAACACACCCAAGTAAGATAGAGGAAGGATAAGGACAAGAAAAAATTGACCAAAATTAAGATCAACAACAACAAAGATGCTGAAAAAAATTTGTAAAAAAAGAAAATTTTCGGTGACCTTAAGAACCAGACAAGAAAGTCATGGTATACTGAACGCTTTTGATAACTTTTTATGATGTCTAAGACGACCTACTTGAATTCTTACTTTGTTATAGAGGCCAACTAAATTTTTCCGATCATAACCTTTTGCGAAGGTACATATTTCGACGTGCCCCATTTTTGAGTGAACATATCTACCAGAAGCCAACGTGCCCCCATTTTTGAGTGAACATATCTACTAGAAACCATAATTTCCAAGCCTTCTACTACTCTTGGCTGTTATAGTGGCCTGAAATAGGCCTTTCTCTTGTAGCAAAATAGAGAACTGCAGAATAAAGAAATATATCTGTCGTGAGTATGATATATCGAATTACATTCTACATAGGTTTTTTCTTTATATAGGAGAGTTGGCTGTATTAACAAATAGAGAAGAAGATTCCAAAGGTGAAGCCTATGGTGAGGATAAACGTATTTAGTTGATGGACGGCTGAGAGGAAAGGCTGAGATGTATGCTACTCCACCTGCATGAAAATTCAGAAAAGCTTCCATGAGATAGAGAAGGGATATACACTCTACGTGAAATATCCAACATAAAGAAATGAAGCTATCCTTTGCGGAGGAGAACACAAAGAGAAATATATAAATAATTCAGCTCTTAGAGGCCAATGAAATTTCGTATGTTGGGTACTTGGGCAACAATTCTTGAGCTGCGCAATTCCATTCTGAATAAAAATCTACACCTCTACCTCTTCAACGTCTCACCACTTTTCAAAATTCAAGTTCTTCGATTCTCATCAATGTCCTCTGAATTCATCCTTTAATCGCTCCAAACAAATTTTGGCCACTGTATTAAAATGCTCGGAAACAATCAAAGTACTACATTACAGATGCATCCAAAATGTTGTTTCTACAACATTCTCTTAACTAATAACACATGCCAGTGTAATGTAGAGTATTTCGGGGCTCACACAAATTCACAAGACAAAAAAACATGGAATAATAAAAAATTATACCAAGGTCCTGGGTAATTATTTTTTGAATTTTGCATCTTGTATATAACCTTTACAGGAGTCTTATTTGGATCGATAGACTGATTCCTAGAAGCTTATCTCTCTTCTCTCTGCAAAAAAATTACCTGTGGGTAACTGGTTTGGCAGCAGAACAATCCATACACCAGTATCTGCACCTTCCTCAGCTGACATGTTTCCTTGCCAACCAGTCATGGCAGTCTTCACCCAACCAGGGCAGTAGCAATTGATGTAAATTCTATGACCTTCGGGCCTGCTGGAAAGAAGCTTTGCCATTAATCTAGTGTAAGCATTTACAGCAAGTTTTGAAACTGAGTAGTCGGTGAACATTTGAGGCCACCCATTAGGCATCCAAGTTGCATCTTTCACTTGTTTGAGGAACTCAGCAACCATGCCATCAATAAGTTCCTCAGAGAGAGATTCATCAGTCAGGAGTTTCTCTCTCAGGTTTGCATCGCCCAATCTCTGCAACGGCAGCATAATCACACTCAGAAATGGCTCCATGAAGACAAAGATGGAGTGCTCAGGTATTTACAAAATAAAAAAGCCTTTAATGTCGGATAATTCCGTAGTATATTGAATAACAGTTAGCTATGGCCATTAGATTTACTGTTTAAGTGTCTAAATAGAACTCAAAAAAAAAGATCAGATAAACATACATTTCGCCTTCCATTCACTCTACCGAGTCTTGAGCTAACATTCAATATCCGAGCGCCATTCTCAGAAGGTCTCATCACTGGGATCATAGCTTTAATGACCCTCTTTGTGCCAACATAATTTGTTTCAATAACCTTCTCTGCAAATTCAACTGAATTTTCTGATCCTAAATTAAAATTGACACCAGCATTATTTACCTGCAGCACAATAAAAAAACGCGAGGAATATAAGCTACCAAAATTAACCGAATGGAAAATAGTAAGTTTAGTGGTGATGTAGCACAAGCAGTTGTACCAGTCCCAAGAAATCAAATCAACAAGAAAGTTAGCCTGTCACAAGCAGCATGAAAAAAAACTAATTTATTCAGAAGTTAGATTTTATTTTGTTATTTTTTCTGCCATTTTTTTGGCTAGACAGTTGAAGTTTAAGCAAATAATGAGAGAACATTATGCAAAATTATGATCAGATGAATATTAATTTCATGATTAGCAATTGTTAATTTTTTTCCAATAAATTTTTAGGTTTTCCCATGTTATTAAAACCAGCCCTCTTCCCTCCATTCAAAAGAATAGGTTGACCCTCTGTCCATCCATTCCTCTCTTCCTAGTTTTGTTTTAGAGTTAATGTTGAAAATATTTATTTGATGATTTCATAAATGGTTGATTGTGAAAAAAAAAAATCTGAGTTTCTTTCAAGATTTGGAGGCTTAATGACCAACTAAATAAAGAGGGAAATTGGTGATCTTCCACATCCTATGATGAGTGATAGATTTTGAGGCGGCTTAATTGCCAGTATAATGAGTATATTCCAAATACAAGTTTAAAATTTGGAGCGTTTAGTTTGAGAAAAACAGAATGCAGTGCATAATTCAATGAATTTCAAATGTAGCATTTTGTTCAATTCTAGTGTATTTCAAACTCACCAAATTTGAGTGAGTTCTAATTAGAATACAAATATGGTTATTGTTGCCGCTTGCCATTGCCTCTCATTGTCATTGCCGACCAACACTATCACAGCCTCCTGCCGTAGGCCACATCATCATTGCCTCCTACTACTCTCCTCAGTCCATCATCGCCAACATTGTTGTTGTAGCTGTCACTACCATTGCCTGTCACCTCTGTTGTCACCAACATCGTCAGTCACCATAGTTGCCACTGCTAGTAGTTGCCGCAACCATTCACTGCTACTGGCCATCGCCATCAACTTTGACCACCACTCATCACCTTCGTTTTACATTGATTTCATTTTTCTTCAAACTAAATATGAAAATATAAACTCTTGTATTTACTTTACACTAAACCAATCAACTTCAAAATAATTCAAAGAGACTATATTTTTTTTACGCTACAGTTTTTTTAAAAAAATCATCTTAGCAATTTTAATTCTCTTCTTTTGAAAATCTTATTTACTATTCTCCTAAAAAACCCTAAGCCAAAGCCCTCCTAAGTTACTAGCTAAAACTAGGGCAAACTAGATCTAGTCCAGTTCCAATGGATTTTCGATCACCCTAAATCACTTGGATATTATTCAAGCATTAAACCCATCCACCAAGGAAAAATATCCTCCCCAAAGCTGGCAAGCATACCAGGATCCTGCATGACCCATGCTCATAAAGAACATATGAAAATATAAAAAAGTAAAAAAATTTCATGAATTTTCTATATCATATTTCTACACCATAAACAAAATTTTCCGTGTGTTTCCACGCCCTAGGATAACCTATATTCTCTACACCGAAAGTCTATGTCAGATCTAGAGATTTCATGTTTAGGTATTCGATTTGCTTGGTCTCACTCATCCAATTTCTAACACATTACATATGCATCCCAACCAACCTCGCTTGAAGCTTTTTAACCCAAAAGAACTCATCACTTCAAAGCAAACACTAGATCCCCTCTCTAAGTTTTGATATCCAAGCACAAGGTTGACAAAAAGAGAAAACCTTTGAAAAAACACTTGCAAGAAGAATCTTTTTTTCCTTTAGTATTGTATTAATCTCCTAGCTTTGCCATTTCCTTTGTGATATGAGATATTTTCATGTTAGACAATAAATTTGCTTTATCTATTGTTATTCTTTCAATACTTTTCTTTACGCAGTAACTAGCCATTTACCATAACTTATCCTAAAACTTTTTTTAAGTAGCACTAAATATCACTAAGTGAATTCCATGAAATAGTTTTATAAATTAATTAAACTTTATGTTTTTTACTGACTCTTATTAACTAATTAAGCTTGTTTTATATATTTTTATATAAGATCGCTCGTTCGAATGCTTTTATATCCCATTCTGCTTTGAATTTAGAGTGTATAAACAACTATATTATCTATATAATCTACATTCACTAACGCAGCATGACATTAAAATTAGCTAGCACAAAATAGTTTGAGGGATTATAAAAACTAGTTGAAGGTCTGAATATTAGGGAAAATAATCACAAGAAGATGCCAAGTTTAAAATTTATTGAAAGAGAGTAATAATAAAAATGCAAACCATACTAGAGAATGTGCTGGGGCAGATTAACCAATTGAACATTAGGTTGCAGACACCACCTTTAGCACCTACAACATATCTCACTTAAGAATTTTCATGTAAAGGAGAAACTTCATGTGAGCTACAACGAGAGGAATGGAAATAACTTTAGGGAAGACAATTTAACTAAGGTTATCCAACTAGAAATATCACGATTGAAGCTGCCATATTTGATGGGGTCAATATTCTCAACAAATTTCTCAATTAGCTTAACTGAATGAATAATTCTTTTTATTGATATCAAATATATTATTATTATCAGGGAGTTTTTGATGCTAAAAAGAAGCTTATGGGCCATGTAAGAAAGTATTAGTTTAATATTTTAGCTGACCATGGATAAACTCAATCAAGACCGAGTCAACACTTTTAAGTTGAATGGCTAAGTTTGGATGAAGTCATATTATGTCAGATTTGACCCACTAAGTCAAACAAGTCTATGGGTTTTGAAAAACTAGTCAAACAAAGAAAAACGACAAAAATGCACTTCCATCCCCCATTAACGACTTACTATTCATCCTATGAAGGAGAAACCTCATTGTTTGTACTACATATAACATCCTCTGAAAAAGAACAGGCATCACAACTTTTAAGCCTCAAAACTTTAGTAAAGATCTTCCAAACAAAACTCTATCTCTCCCACACATCTTAAAGGGCAGTTTGGGATGCTTCTAATTATCCATAATATCTGTTGTTAAACGGTTGTAAAAAAGACTATTGTTCGAAGCTAATATAATTTCTTTAAAACATAGATCATAAAATTTTCAAATGTTTAAGAGAGGGGTCAGTTAGTGTAGTTTAAAATTAGTTTTGAAAATTTGACTAATTTTATTTCTTCTTAAAATAATAAAAAAATAGTATGGATCCTTTGTTGAAAAAATACAAAGACAAACGTTTAACATAAAAAAATTATTTTTTCAAAGTTTCTAAGAACTATTGTTATATCATAAGTTCATCATGGCAGAAACATATTTCAAAAGTCTCGAAAAACTTTTCCAAATCACATATCATAAGCAAAATTAGATCACAAAACATTTTGATATAGCTAAAGATGCAATAAAAGCAAGGATTTAGAAAGTGAAAAAAAATATAAACTAATAAATAATAGTTCGGCCATTACTTGTTTACACCTTGTACCAAAATAAATCAAATATACCCAAAACTTTTTAAACATTGTTAGACCATACTAATTCATATTTATGATCAATAAAATAGTTTAATACAATCCAAAACTCATGATATTGATAGAGTTAAGAAACCACAAAAAAAAGTCGCATGGTTATAACAAAAAAAAGATAAACTCAATCATAGAAATCAACTTTAAGTAGTGCACTCATGAAGATATTACCCATGTAACTGACATTTGAAACACAAAGTTAACAGCAATATGTCGTTAATTGACCCTAGTCTCAAATCTCTAAGCTTAAGAGGTGTGGTGAAGGATAAACAATGAGAGTTAAGAATTTCAAATCTTTACTGAAACAGCATCACAAAATCCAAAGTATAAAAAATGACCTCAACTGTAACACTTTCACTCTCTCCGCCTTTTCTTTTTCCTATCAAGACTATGTGCCTCATGTGAGACCCATATGCGTCTTTCTAAGCACAATGGGGATGTTTGCATCACTTAGGCTCTCAGTACATCACCCATATACACCTTGTCATGGGGGGAATCCAACAAAGCCTTATGCCTCACACTACCTAAAATGCTTTCCTAGGCACATTAAGATGGATTGGCCTACTATCATTACACTATCATAAGGATGAAGCAAAAGCGTAGCCAAATGTCCACAAAAATCAAAAGTACACCAACCATGTTTAATATAAACCACTTCATTATTGTTAGACTACATAAGCTTGAGATGAATAAGCCTTACGTATAAACATCCTCACACTATCTCTTGATTTGAAAGAGCAAAATAAAAATATGAACAAGAATAATATTTTCTTTTATTTATAAACTCAT